TATTTATTTCTTAAATTATGTGTGGGGCCATCCAAAGGTATCATGCAGCCCTTGTCAGCCTAATCATGTTTTTATTCACTGGGATTGTTTTTAGGGTGGGCAAAGCATGTTAGCGTATTTTCTGTGATTGTTAAGTATTGCTTTAAATCACCTCACTTGCTTTACCTCTACTCTCTTATCAGGTCAACTAGGTTGTTTTTATTTCTCTTAACTTAAAATTATGTGATTTATCGATTTTTATTTTATTTCTTTGTAGAGACTGAGCTGCCTATGTGCTCCGAACCGAACACTTGGAAAAATGTACGGTTGGTTGTACTGTTTTTACGTTTTGCAACCATCTGCTGTGCCCGCTGAGTCTGTCTGTTTACCTGCTGTTTGCACTCACCTGTGCCAGAATGAGGCACTCAAACGGGGGTTCTTGAGTCAAAGTAAAAATATTAAAACTTCCACATTATTTGAAAGGCTCACAGTTATTTTGATATGCCAATACAGGTACAGCAAAGAATTCAAAATTTGAGTGTTTTACTAATGGATCGCTATGTTTCTAACTCAACTGAAATCTGGAATGTCCAAAAATCTTTTTTTTTTTTTTTAATACAACTCTTCTTCTCCTTAGCATAATTTGTATATTGTGGGTAACATATAAAGACATTCATTAAAACTGTTACTCACTGGGTAAGTATACAGTATGTAAATACTGCATTACATTTTGTTTTATCAAAGTAAACATGGTTTCATTGTTTTATTTTGAATCCCTTTTGTGCAGAGTGGACAGGGATGGAATTTTGGAAGAGTGGAGTGCACAAATAGACCTCATTAAGTCCTTCTTCACCCTCCACTTGTTCCGGGTGTACGGGAGCAACAGTGATTGCATAACCACACTGACAGTGGCTGTGAGAAAGGCTGACAAACGCATACACGAGCTCACAGCTGTGCAGCACAACATCAGCTGGAGTCAACTTACTGTGCTGCCCAGAGGGGGGTTTTTAATGTTGGGAGGCTAACATTACTATAAGTGACTCATGCTCCTTTTTGGACTGAAACAGAATCATACACAAAGAACCATTGCTGAGTTTGAGAATCGAAAGCCAAATAATCACTTTTCTAGGTGGTTCGCATGTGTTTTTTAGTGTACGTTCGTGCCTTGAGATAACGAGTTGTATTCGTTCCGAGACCAAAACAACTCAGACGTCAAATCACCTTTCCCCTTAGAAATGAATGGAGATGCCATTGATCCGCAAGGAGCCCCCCCCCAAAGGAGTAATGTTTTAATGACAATGGTGAGTGCATTTCCCTTTTGCCACTACTGGAAACATTCGGTGACTCACAAAAAAGTAAAAGAAATAGCCAAACCAAATAATTTCATTGCTCACTGAGCTGATGTCTCATGATTTGTCATCATCTTGAATGATCATGTTTTGCGCTCATTTTCGCTGATATTTCAGGCATCTCTTTCCATAAAATGGTGAACACCATACTGTACTGTTGTTTGATTTCTGATATCCCGCTGTGCAAATACATCTGTTGATGTTCCTTAAATTATTCAAATCTGTAGGTTTCTCTCACATACTGTGTACGGTTGCAATGCGACAGAAATAGCCCCAGCAAATGGGAAAAAGACGGAGCGAGAGAGAAATACGGAATAAAGACAAAATGCAGCAAAGCAGAAGCAAAGCGCTACAGAGTAGTTGGAGGCAAGGTGGAAGTAAAGAAGAATAAACACGTATGAGGGCTGAACAGAAAGGCAGAGTGACAGTCTGAGAGGCCCTGAGTTCCACTTGACTCAGTCATGGGAATGATTTGATTATTACCACATGAACAGCTGTCTTATATAACATACACACACACACACAGACCTAAATAATGGCAAAGGAGCCACATCCTGGACAGAAAACCGAAAACAAGCACAGGTGGCCTATACAAACAAAAGTCCTGACAAGTTCTCATCAGAGTTTACATGTGAAATGAATGCTACTGTACATATGTACTGTATGTCACTGCAAGCACATACAGATGAGTATTGAGTGTATTTTCACCATTGCGGCCTCAGGGCAAGTCATGTTAGCAAAGCACCTGATGAATGCAGTTCATAGCATGACAAGTGTGCAAGACTCAGGTGCAACTCATGGAAATCAGAGGTCCATTTTTTTTCTCCCCATCAATGAGTTTCAACAACACTGTCAAATATACTAAAGATGAATATTGAAGCATCCCTGTGCTGAAGTCCTCCGGTAGCCGTCAGGGGAGATACACAATTTGCCCGCTATAGGTTGGCACAAAACAGTTAATTTTAACCATAAAGAGTTGAGAGGTTTAAGACAGTGCTTCTCAAATTTTAAGTACAACCTTAAAAAAAAAAAACTTTGCTCTCCAAGAACCACGCTAATGAACCGAGACTAAAATACACGAGTCAGCCCAAGTGTTCATCACAAACAAAGCAGAGGTTTCATTCCTAAAATGTAAGCAGTATATAATGTTATCAGAAGCTAATGTAGCATTTTGCAGTTGGAGCACTAGCTACTGTGAAGCTTGTTTTACACGTTTATTTCTCAGTGCCGTAATGAAACCACCAATATTCTTCCAGATAGAGAGAGGCCAGGGAACAATTGTGAATGTACTGTTATATGCAGCCTGGTGTGGAAACACTCTGAAATGTGCTGAGATTTGATATTGACTCTTCAGATGCGCTATTCTTACGAGTCCAATTAAAGTGCCTTCAGCACTGATTGCCCTCATACACGTGTACGTATTTGTGTGCATGTGTGTGAAGTAAAACTTCACCTACTGTGGATATAAAAAGATCACACTCTTGTTGAAATGTCAGGTTTTTGAGATACAGTATAAAAAGAGAGGACAAGATAAATCATTTCAAGTCTTTTCCGACCATCAATTTGGCCAATAATCTATACAGCTCCATTTACTGGAATGTGGCTGTCTTCACAATAAAAATTTGTCACACTCAAAATGGGATTATCACAATTATCACAATTTAAACTGTCTCTGAATAATCTAAAATAAAGTAAAGATACAGTATTCTACTAGGGTATCATGACATTTTTTTGTTGTTGTTTTGCTTTCCAGCAGCAGCCTGAAAGTTTTGTGTTAGCTCGCACTGACTGCTATTTGCAGGCGAAGTCCCCCGGTTCCACCAGAAGAAAAATAGCCCCAAACCATAATGCTGCCACCACCATGCTTTGGATCATAGCACGTTTTTCCACATATTTTTGGGAGGGATATTTTTTTACGATCCTATGAAATCAAGGTTGAACTTTTTGGCCAAATGGTATGTTTGGCGAAAACAAAATACTGTAACTTTATACTTGGGGTCCTTCGTCAAGGTTGAGGGAATTATGACCAATTTTAAATGGCAGTCATATTAATGGTGAAAAAAAAGTTTTGAAATGATTTGACTTTTTGTGATGTAAAAAAAAAACCTGACATTTGAACAAGGGTGTGTTGACTTTTTTATATTAATCTTCCACATTCACCTACCCAATTGTGTTGGACTTTTTTTTCTCCTGTCAATTCCAATACATTTTGCTTCATGTTTTTAAGCATGCATAAGTCCATCCTGTGCTCCGATAAAAGTCCTGGGAGAGAGAGTAAAGTCGTCAGGCTTGGCACCAAAGTAACCTGCCGACATGACAGGTCAGCTCATAAAAATTTCACACATCCAGTGTAAATGCAGTTTTAGAAAAACCAATGATTTAGCAAAAAAAAAACACTTAACAGCAGCAAACACAACCTGCAGTGTTGTTGTTGTTGGTGTGTGTTTGTGTTTGAAATTAGGGCACATAAACAAGAAAAAAACTGTAGTTAAGTATTGTATATACCGTAATCATGTCTGTGTGTAAACATGCAGCTGTGAAGTGAATTTCTGCCATTATCCTTATATAAGTCACCTTGCAAAACATCCTTGTAAAGGAATCACAGCCATCATGTGCGCACGGCCATCTTGTGAGCTTGTTTAAAAACAATTAAAGGTATGCAGTGTTAAAACTGCTCGCATGTGATTCTGAAAGCACATAGTCCACAGAAATAGTCAGAGAGTCGCATACGATAGCTACTGTTGCTTTATCAAAAGAGCAGTGCGAGCAATACTAAATTAGCATTAGCACTGTAAACAAGCTGACTTTAGCCACAGCTACCATACTGGTTGCATAATAGAATTTGTTAAACTCCAAACTTATCTGTTAGAAAGCATGATTTTTTTTTTTCGAATTTACAATCCGAGTTTGGCATCAGCTACCGCCCTCAGAGGGGATGAGCAATAAACTGCATAAATTTGTTTTGAGAGAAAAGCATTTTGGAACCAGAACAGTGCTGTGTTTGGGCACATTTCATGGGGAATGAGTTCATCAATGTAAGCGTCCAGACCTGCTAAAAATACATTTACAGGTTTAAAGCGAAACAGCCACACACATTGGTAAGTCTGGCCATACAGTGCTATCCATGGAGGTTGACTTCAGGAAAAAAATGAAAGGGAATATTTTCTTCCAGGAGACCGTCTCAGAGTGCACTGTGGCTGACCACAATTACGTCCCACTGAGTTTCATGAAGAAGAGACCACAAGATGCCCACATATCAGCAACTACTAGTCAGAGGGAAGATGTTTCCCATATCAAATTAAGGAACAGAAACCCAATCGGAACAAAGCATATGAACATACTGAATATTAAAGAGAAGGCAAAAAAAAACATTCAATATGAAAAGCTTATAAGACCAACTAAAATAGGACACCAAAGATTATTAAAAAATAAGTGTTGCATCGGACCATAACTGTGTTCTTTTTGAAAATGGCAAACTCTCCCTTCAATCTGTTATGAAGGTACAATTTTTTTTTCCCCACGCAAATGCACAATTTTTATATCCAGCTTCTGTCACTCTCCTCCCACCTCCTCCTCTTGTTCATACTGTACTTTAGTATATTCTCCACAAGCACTTAAGGAAAAGGGAGCAGACATTTGGGAGAGAGTGAGACAGACAGACAGAGAGAGAAAGAGAGAGAGAGAGAAAGAGAGAGAGAGAGAGAGAGAGAGAGACTTGCTTGTCCTGTCGAGGTCTCTCATGTCACAGCTCTGCCCCCGGGGGCCTGACCTCTGCCGTGCCGACTGCAAACCAACCTGGAGAACCTCACACGGTAGAGGAGGGGAGCGCATGTTGGAAAACATTTAACCTGCAAACCTGTATCAAGAAGGAATAGGTGGACGATGGATTAATTATTTTTGAGAACGGGAAGTAAAAGAACGTCTATGTTTGGTGATAGTGTTTTTTTGCAGGAAGGAGGCACGGGAAAAAGGAAAGGGGAGGAGTGGCAGTGAACACAGAAAGGAGAGGAGCACACACGCATGCGGGCAAACAAGAGGAGTAGAGGAGCTGAGAGATGCTGCGGGGAAATGTAAGTGTTAAATCTTCCTTCTTTGTTATTGTTCACAAATGGAAGATGATATTCTATCACTTTTCCACGTTGTTCCGTGATTCTGTGGCACCCATCCCATGCTCCCATTACATCCATCTCCTGTGCTGTGTTTGTGTTTGGGCGTGCATGCTGTCTCCCTCGTGCTCCGCAGGTCATGTTAAAGAGTATCGGTGCTGAGGAGGGAAAGGCCAGTGTCACGTTGAATTAACATCAGCTTCACGTGCATAGCCACACACACACACACACACACACACAGAATGTTTGAACCAACACGAAGAAACAAGATCACTTTGTAGGCAGTGCAAGGAAAGTCTCTTAGCATAATTGTCAGCTTGAATTTTAATTGTATTCAATTAATAAAGACGAGCGGAAATCACGAGCACCAAGCATTTCTTTCTTTTTTTTTTTTTTTTTTAAGCAGCTTATTAATTTATTTGCTTGTAGCTCACTGTGTGAGAACTTGGCCTGGGGTCAGGAGGGTCTAAGGTTCAAAATCTCTCTGTGGACCAAAATAGACTGTCAAGGTGGCCTTGAGCAATCATCAAACTGTTGTCGACCTCGCCCAATATATTAAAATAGTACTACATTATCTATTCATTCTCAAATTATGAGAAGACTATTACTCACTGATTTAAAGAAATATATACACTTTTTCCAGCTGTATGTATTATTTCAATACAGTTATGTCATGCTATGGCAGTTCAACAAAACGCTGTCAATTTCAAATGAATCAAAAGGGCTGTCAAAACAAAGATTTGATTCAGAAAATCGTTTTTTATTTAAAAGATGTGAGTGCATTGAATAGAACTGAATAATTCCATTTTAAAACATCGAGATATATATCGAATCTTTTTTTTTTTTGGAGATATATCTGAAGGAAACGCCACATTTACAGTAACTCATTCATACGGTAAAATGTTGAGGCACTTTTTATTATTATGAGAAAAAGGCAAGTTACCAAAGTTAAGTTGCATTATAACAATAGTTATTAGGTTGATTATGAAAATTAGAGATGTTTGATACCACTTTGTTTCAACCAGTAGTTCCACATGTATTCACTTATTGAGTACTCACTGATATCAAGTACTTTTGATCAATAACATTTCATTTAAGACAATGGCAGTGCAGTGGAACCAAACTTTCTTTCTGACACAGATGATGATTTGCCGATTATCAGACTGCCACATTATAGCGCCAATTACTGCTGTGGAGGACTTATTTGATATCACAAATATTGGTGACTGTTATTCAACCAATCAAACTTTATTGATGTAGTTGGCAGCCTCCATGAGAACTTGATGCCTAAAAACACGGCCAATATCAGTTTTGGTTCCTACCTTTACTGAAAACAAAGTTATAATATGAAAGAATCCGGAACAATAGTAGCAGAAGGCAAGAAAACTGCCAAAGTCAATGTTGCCAGGAAAAAAAAATCAAGTAGGAATTGTTCTTTTTTTTTTTTTTTTATCCCACCGGCCCAAAGTCGTAATGTTAACAGAACAAAGTTGCAAAACCGCAATTATTATTATTATTTTTTTAATTTTAAGTTTTTTCTATTGGCGGCAGTCCTAATATTGTAAGAGTGAAGGCATTTTAATTTTAAAAATACATTTTTAAATGAAAATGTGTTCAAATAAAGCATGGGTGGGGGGGGGATGTAATTCGTAAAAAACATTTTAATTTAAATAAAATAAATTGTGGGAAGGATTGAAAAAGCGAGTCGTTGATGGTATAGTGGTGCCCTCGCCTGACTTCTAATAGGGCAGCGTGGGATGGGTTCCCACTCAGTAATGGTGTGGATGTGTGTGTGAACGGTCGTTCGTCTCGACAAGTATATGTGCCCGGCAATTGACTGGCGACCAGTTCAGGTTGTAGGACCGATGGACAGTGGATTGATGGATGGCTTGTAAAAGTTTTTGTTCTCAAGTGAGCAAATCTAGCTAACTAGCAAGCTATTTTTCTAGCAAACTACCTGTCTAGCAATCTATCTAGCAAGGTTGACAAGTAGGTAGCATGTCTGCCTCACAGTTTTTGTATTTTGGATTTGAATTCCGGGTGCTCATGCTTCCTATCGCATTCCAAAACCATGCATATTAAACATTCATGAGACAGAAAATACCAAAAGAATATTGCTTATTGCCGGCGTCCTGCAGGAACCTCATATGTCATGATTTGGGTAAATGTCATATATTTTCAAAAGTGTAAATCCACGTCCTATAGCACTTGCACTCAACATCCCGAAATCACCTCGACAGCCAGCCAATTTGACATCACTTTGCCGTCCATGTTTGTGTCATCTTGAGTCCCAATGGTGTGTGTGTGCGTGTGTATGTGTGTGTGTGTGTGTGTGTGTGTGTGTGTGTGTGTGTGTGTGTGTGTGTGTGTGTGTGTGTGTGTGTGTGTGTGCGTGTGTGTGTGCGTGTGTGTGTGCGCGTGGCCGCGACTCCGGGCTGATGTGTCATTCTTGTAACACAGATAAATGTGCCTGAAGTGCTAATGAATGCCTGAAATGTGCATTTTATCTGCCCAGCGGGTGCGCATATAGTTCAGCCTCAAATGATTCATACCTTGGCCAAAATTGGAGTTGGAAAGGCATTTTCATCGGTTGAATGCTTTCCTCTGGTTGGATCAACCTGTGTTTTGATGTATTTATTTATCTTTTTAATGAAAGTTCTCCCCTTGAGATCAAACCAATCTGACCTCTGAGTGTTTCGTCATTTCTCTGCATAAGAGCAGTACACACATTTTGATCGTGCTGCAATACCGCTGGCTCAAGCGGTTTAAATTCCTCACGGATCCTTTACTTCTTCAGTCTCAAGTGCATGCCGACGTTACCTTGAAGTCAGTCAGTATAATGTGATGTCTTATGACAGGTGTGAAGAAAAAAAAATCTCTGACTCCTTGTGACAAACTAGATCAAACTGGTCGAATTACAATTAATGCATAGCACTTACAATACCTAATGAGGTCCAATAGAAAACTCCCCTTATAAAGATGATTATGATCAGATTTGATTGATGCTGTCAGAGATATATTCATTGAACAATGGTTGTAGTTTGCAGTGACGTAAAACTGCATTGGATTATGCGAAGAGGCATTTCTTATTTTGGTTTGCTCTTTTCATGGGGGGAAAAAAAGGCTCACATTAATACTTTTGTCATGAAGTATCAATTATAACGAAGCAAAATTATCTTTGTTCAAGACAGAATCTATGACACAGCTCTTGTATCGGAAGTGAGGAAGTTTCATGAATGAGCTGCGGGGCTGCACGTCTAGACAGTTCTATTATGAGCTCTGTGTTTGCTGTCTCTCCATTCACTCTACATTGAGCTTGGCAGGCTACAACTCCTGTTGCACTCATTATGATGTGCCTGTGTGTGGGTACGTCTTTGTGTGAGTCTGTGCTTGTGTGTGTGCTTTTGTGAGTGTGTCTATATGTGCGTCCATGCATGTGTGTGGTTTAGCCTCGGGGCTGTATAGTTGGAAAACAAATACCCGTGGCATTTTTTTGGCAGGCGGGGAAGGATATTTTTATTGTTAATGAATGTGGTTGAATCCCCCATGCAAGATGGGATCATTCCAAAACACGAACAAATATAGATGAAAAAAAACCTTGATACAAATTTGACTTTGATATTTGGCTAAATATCCTTTATCGACGAATTAATCGATTCATTGTTTTTAAATAGATATTTTTAGAGTCTCTATAAATGTTCAGCAAAGTTCTACTGAGCAAAACTGAGCCCACTCAGTGTGAATGTAGCTGAATTTGCCAGAGGTGACGTCATAGTCACTCATCGAGACTGTGCCGACAGCGCCACTGCTGGCCGCAGCCAAGTCATGCGCACAGTTGCTTCAAAACAATTGATCAACAATAATTAATGATTAATAAATCGATTCTTCAAAATCAGCTTTGCAAACATTTTTTAATGGAAATAAAAGTGATTTACAGATTTAAATTTCATACTATAAATTTCTATGATACCATTGATACTCCACGTCTCCATTTGATTCCTTTTCATCTTTTTGTTAGCATTAGCAAAGTTATGGAAACATTGTTTTGATTACATAAAGGCCTGAGCCAATGCATGTTATCTCTTTTTTTTCCGTTGTGCCAAGTCAAGAAAACACGTACCGTATATCATGAAAATTAATTTTTACTTCTTAGTTTGTGCGTACGTACATCCGGTCTGTATTGTTTGACTTTTTCTTAAGGAAAGCGGGGTTGAGTCAGGAGCCACTTCTGCTTTTACCAGAGCCTTTTTTTTACACTGTACTTCTCATTAACTAGAGAGTGTGGATAATATTATGAGTAATTATCTTCGATTTGTCTCATGGCAGCTCAGTGATGTGTCAGTCTTTTCCCTAACAGCATGCTTCTTAATGTGTTCCATAGCAATAATATGATATTGTTTTGCTGGTGTTTAAAACACGTGAATGTACCTAATGTGGTGTCCAGTAATCGTCTCTTTCCAAAATATTTTGAAACCATTCTCTCTTTGTCTTCTGTTATTTGTTGTTCTTATGAAGAGATGAGTATGAGAACTCCGGTGAGGGCTGAAGCAGATTCCAATAAGATCAACTCCCTGTGAAGTGATGAGTACTCAGACCACAGAGGGCCCCAACACTGATGTGATGGTGGTCTCCAAGGAGATGGCATTGCTTAGCAACATACTGGCAGCTTACACCTTCATCACAGGTACGACGCATGTTGTGCAAAACATGCGCTACAGTCTGAATATATTGTGCATCTTCTGTGTCTATATATCTCACAATATATATCTATATCTATATATCTTTACAATATGGTCTCATGAGTGCACAGTAAGGATAGTGTTATATTAATGCACTGAACTCTTTTTCCAGAAAGTGCCACTGCAATCACGTAAAAGTGAGAAAATCGGTTGAGTTAGATCGTTATTTTATTGATCCCTAGGAAATTCTGGGATTCTGTTGTAGCAATAACAGTAAAAAAATGGCTGATGTCTTGTAGTAAAAAAGTATCATGAAATAGTATTAAAAAAACCCGAAAAAATCCATTCGGAAGCTGTTTGAGACATTTCAAATGGTTAGCGAACATCCTTTCGACTGCTTGCGTCCTTGAATGAACCCTGATGAAAAAAATAATTGATAGGTGCGCACACACTTGCAAAACTTGGCCACTCAGTGAGATACGGCCTTAAGTGCCCACTTCATGGCGCAGATGTGATGCCGCGAGAATTTAAAGGGAGTCAAACTGCTTTGATGTCTCTTACTGAAGTTGGTTGTGACTACTCCCAAAGTGGCTCGCTCTTGCAAATGCAACGACCTGCACTCATCTGCAAAATTACCCATATTGTGTCTCACTCACCACCGTACATAGATACGCCTTGTGTTGCAACAAATTTACACCAGTCACAAAAACAGAGCCTGAGTGCAGTAATAGTAATAACAGTACTTAATAATGGTCTTGTCTTAATTTACTTGCAAATTAACCGGTGAAATCTGGGCCTGTTTCATCAGTGAGAACTATAATATTGCATAAACGGCTACGCTGGTTAATTTTACATTCGGCCATCTAGTGGGAGAGCATTTCATTATTTGCCTACCATACTACATCATTGGCACAGGTGCATACTGTAGATGAACAAAGATACATTACTGTATTGGATATAATCTGACCACTATTGTTAATAGTTCGACTACCGTAATTGGAAATTGGATAATTTTCTGCGGCACACCTGATGAACTCGACCAGCACAATGGTTAGGAATCACTGATTTATGCTGTACGGAAGTGTTGGATGATTCTGTGACTGGATGTTTCAACAGCAGAGAGAAATCAGGGGGAAAAAAACAAAGCCAATATTAAAACTTCAAGTGTTACAACAAGTGAAGAAAGTTGTTCTGTCTGTTTGATCTCTCTCCGCCAGACCAACCCGAAAGGACGGCGCTGGTGTTTCTGGGTGGAGTGTCTGTCGGTCTCCTTGTCACGCTCTGTGCCGTCGTCTTCCAGATACACTGTCGCGCCGACTGTCACTATGGCAACAGTAAACACCCTCGCCATCGCCATCACCACCGCCACAGGCGTCATCATCACCATCATGTCTGTCAGCACCGCCAGCAACACGTCGACACCAACCCGGATAACATGGCCGTCGTCGCCTCGGAGGTCGCCAGGCCGGCCGGGGACAGCGAATCGGAGGACTGGGATGAGACAACGGACATGTCATCACGAAGGCGCAGACGCTTTGAGAGGGCCTTGCTGCACGCCAGCATGTTTACATCAGCTGAGGGTATCTAACATACACACTCACAAAAAATATGTGCATGATCTACTAATTCCTCTGAGTGTTTCAAGAACTTTATTGAGCTCAGACGCGTATTTTACATGCGAAATGCCATTAATGCAGCGGCACTGTGGTCGCCTGGTTTGGACGTCCACCTCACAGTGCAGCGGTACTACAGGGTTTGATTCCGGCCCTGGCCTTCCTGTGTGAAGTTTGCATGTTCTCCCCGTGCCTGTGTGGGTTTGCTCCAGGTACTCCGGTTTCCTCCCACATTCCCAAAAACATGCATGGCAGGTTAATGGGACATTCCAAATTGTCCATAGGTGTGATTGTGAGTGAATGGTCATTTGTTATGTATGCCCTGCTGATTGGCTGGCAACCAGTTCAGGGTGTACCCCGCCTACTGCCCAAAGACAGCTGGGATAGGCTCCAGCACACCGCGTGACCCTTGTAGGGATATCGAATCAGAAAATGGATAGATCGATTGATAAAAAAAAAAAAAAATGCTCTGCCATATTTTATTTTATGAAAACAGACTGTATTTACATAAACGAAATGTAAACAAAAAGGTTTTGTTGCATTATTTGCTTCAATTCAACGGACATTCTGGTGTGTGCAGATCATACACCAATGGCCAGAATATTACAGCTTTATATGGACACATTAGTGGCTTCATCTTTAAGCTGAAGTAATATTTTTCATTTTTCGCAGAGGATTAAAAAAAAATGCTTGTGAGAAATGTTACATTTTAAGTCTACATATTTTGCCTCACCATTTGTGTTTGAATATCCATCGCTTAACGGTCTTTAACGCGGCAACACCGATTCTGTTAGTTGGCCGATGGATGGCCTTTTTCATTGTGTGTTAACATTAAGACAGTCTCCCTTCTTTTGCTTGTTTCTCCCTCCTTTTGCAAGGTTGATTCGAACGCACACTTCTTAAAAATAGAAATGTTTTGCAGTGGTCAAAGATAATTTGACGCTGATGTGGATTGATGGTCATTGAGGGTGTGTGTGTGTGTGTGTGTGTGTGTGTGTGTGTGTGTGTGTGTGTTGTGTGTGTGTGTGTGTGTGTGTGTGTGTGTGTGTGTGTGTGTGTGTGTGTGTGTGTGTGTATGTGTGAGATCAGAGCTGGACCGGGCCCAGCGGCTAGAGGAGCGGGAAAGGATCCTGAGAGAAATCTGGTTGAACGGACAGCCAGATATCAGCACAGTCACTCAGAGCCTCAACAGATATTACTGACTAATGATGAAACACGCTGAAGGATGAATGGAAGGAAGGATGGAGGACTTAAACCAGGGGTCTTCAATCCTCTGTCCTAAATGTTTTGCACCTCTTCCTGCTGCAACATTCCACAACAGCATTGAAGACCGCTGACTTAAAGGAAAGATACACAAAGCAACAGAGGATGCGTGAAAATGTGTGTCCACGAATGGACAAAGTGGCTGTCATGATTTGTCTACACATTTGCTCACTAACATATTGTTCAGTTTCAAACACAATTTAAATGGTGCTTTTGTATACATAAGGAATGTGAATCTGTCTGTTTATGGGACACACATGCTTTGCATTCCATCTTTTTGATGCTTCGGAAGCTGGAAATAACGGAAAAAGAAAAAGGTAAGAATGGACATGATGGTTTGATTTTGGTGCTTTTACTGTTGTTGTGTCGCATTCCTTAAATAAAGTGGATGCATATAGAATGAAAGTGAGTGAGTCTGTCACTTGTACACATGTGTTGCAGCAAAGATGTTTCACCCTTTCATTGATAGGATTCCCTCTGCCTCACTGTCTGGGGCCAATACGTGGAAATATCACTATGAGCCCAACCAATTCATTCATTCAATTCATTCTCGTCTGCATATTTGAGGTCGGTCACGGGGGCAACATCTTAAGCAGAGGAGCCCAGACTTCACTCTCCCTAGCCACTTCATCCAGCTCCTCCTGGGGGGATCCCAAGGCGTTCTAAAGCCAGGCGAGGGACATAGTCTCTTCAGCATGTCCCAATAAAGGGACCCTTCGAATTTTGACATTTTTCTCCCTCTCCCTTCACACTGGTCAGAACATTAGTTACACTTGAGACCCAATACAATGTCAAAACCTTACAAAGATTATGTTCCGTTTTAAAAGGAAGTCATTTCTAAGTATGTTTATTATTGTGGATGTAGTAACTCAACTGAACTCTTTCTCAACTCTCACTTTCAAGGACAGCGATTACTACAGTGGACAGTTTACCATGTTATCAGGTTACAGGGTGCATATAAGGGTTAAGATGCAGCTTTCACTTCAGAGGAACAGCTATTAAATGCCCCAAATCGTTTGAATCACAATTGCTTGTTTCTAAATCAAAAAGGGCATTCAATTGTATTGTTGTTTTTGTATTGTTGCGCCCTCGTGAGGTCAAAAGCTGCTACAGTATATTTCCGAACTCGAAGTCAACTTGAATTCACACCATTTTTACTCTTTGTGCCTAAATGACCACAGATGACTCTGAGATTGGCCAAGTCATAACTAAATTCAGATAACACCAATTATGGCCATCCCACTATCCAATTTTTATACAACTTAACCTGTTCAGGGTCGCAGGAACTCTGCCGACTTCGTGGAAAAGGCAGACCACACCCGAGATTAGGTCAAATCCATATTGTGCAAACTTTTATAGAACTTTTAAAAAATGAAAATATTGTATCTCAAATACCTGATGTGTTATTGGTAAATAAAAAAGTCGCATTTTTTTTTATTAACGTCCAAATAATTTTACGCACACATAGCGTCATCTCTGACTACAATGTCCTGTTAACCGGTGTAATAAGATAGATGATAAGAGGTATACTGGCCAAGTCATAACTAAATTCAGATAACACCAATTATGGCCATCCCACTATCCAATTTTTATACAACTTAACCTGTTCAGGGTCGCAGGAACTCTGCCGACTTCGTGGAAAAGGCAGACCACACCCGAGATTAGGTCAAATCCATATTGTGCAAACTTTTATAGAACTTTTAAAAAATGAAAATATTGTATCTCAAATACCTGATGTGTTATTGGTAAATAAAAAAGTCGCATTTTTTTTTTTATTAACGTCCAAAATCATTTTACGCACACATAGCGTCATCTCTGACTACAATGACCTGTTAACCGGTGTAATAAGATAGATGACAACAGGTATATTATAATGAGATGAGATCATGAGAAAATAATAGTGTTTTTTAAAAGTGCGTTATAAAATAAGTTGATTCATTTGATGATGATGACTTTCCACTCTACTC